ATTGACTTCACTTCTCTTTAACAAGTTCGTATCTTGGTGCGGAGAATGGCAAAACTCACAGATGATGCCGACTACGATGCCGGCGAAACCTTTGAGAATGTATCAAGTCCATTGTCAGATGCTGGGAATCCAGACAACTACTATGACAGACGACTTCGGACTAGATGCGTTCTACATGGTCACCCTGAGAACAAAACCGAGTTGCGACGAGGTCAACCCACTTCAATCTGTAACTTGCCTAAAGGGAGAATTGCACCAACTCGATTAGAATCACCATATCTGCAATGCTCGAGGAATTATCAGCATTACCGGCCTCGAATGCATGATGGTACACGTAGGATTCTTGAGAAATCCTGATTCTGAAGCTGGCTGACCTTACAATTCTCCTTCAATTAAGGACTAGGATCCTCCACACCCTATTAATGCAGTATCATTGAATTGCATTCAATTGGAAGACTATCCGAACTCTTAGATAGCAAATTATATTAGTAAATGCATGTTTGCTTCATTAGCAATCCCTCAGCAAAAATATTGTATGGATGAGGCTTGGCCTGCGTTGAGAAGCTAATCCAAACACACATTGACACAAATAAATATTCACGTAGGTATAAGTACCCTTAATAATATGGGAAAGAATTAACCAAATCATTCCATATCCTTCCTTCTCGATCTATATATTTTCGTTTCAAGTTGAGTATATAAATACATAGAGTAGAGGCAGGTAGTCTTCCAGACCAGCTTATAGCAATTTGAGTTGCTAAAGAATAAATTCTTGGAGTTATGTTCACCATATTTCGTATAAGATAATGAAGGACGGGTAGTTGAATTTTCCCACAATGAAATGAGTAGAGCTGACGTTTCCATCTAATTTCATATAACCTTGTCTCTCCAAAAGGTGATCTCATCCATGGTGGACTGTAATTTCGACCTTGCATAGTTCTTATCCACACCCGCAGGGGAAATCAAACCTTGACAGTGCAGCGTGTAATCTCGACACGTTAACCACTACGCCCTTCGGTTATAGGGAAGATGTGAATCTCAAGGAAGGTCAGTCATTTTCTCATATCACATGCTTTGGTTGGATTGTAGATGAAGCAAACTTATATTTGCTATACCAATCGATAATATTACTTATATTTCGTTTTTGAATAGACATAAATCATAGATTTGACTTACTGGTAGTCTCGAAAACCTACATAAAACGAAATATAAGTAATATCGCCGATTATTATAACAAATATAAGTTTACTTCATCGACAATAACAACACAGAATTTTATATGGAAAATGCCTGACATTGCCTGAAATTCACATCTGCTCTGTGACCCAAGGGCACCCGTGGCAATGTGGCGTAGTGGTTAACATTTCGAGATTACACGCTATACTGTCAAAGTTAGACTCCCGCTAGGGGTGTTGATAAGACCTGGGCGAGGTCGAAACTGCAGTCGACCCTGGATGAGACCACCTTTTGGGAAAGTAAAGATATGTGAAATGCAAAGGAAACCTCAGCTCTACTCATATATTGTGGGTAAATCCAACTACCAGTCCTTAATCACCATAAATGAAATAGGGTGAACACAGCTCATATATATGATTTACTGGTAGTCTCGAAAACCTACTCAAAACGAAACGAATTCTTACCAAGTATTTCAAAGCCTTTGCGCACTAGATAGGCAGTGAAGGTGAGATCATGATCGCAGAACAAGTAGCGGAAGAAACTGACGTAGGCATTGGGAGAACCATTAAGAAGTCTAGAAATAAAAACAACAACAAAAAATAAACGAAGTAATCATCACTTGACAAAAATAAGCCTATGATAAATATACTCAGGCAGTGTATGACTATAAAAGCAGACATTTCGCATCAGGTCATTCATTCAGATAGAAAATTTTTCACATTTCTTACCAAGCAACACTGTTCACCCGAACATTACCCTGATTCTGCGAGCATGCATGTTACATAAGCATAGATCTCTTTCAATATGTAAGTGAGATGGCAGACTGATGTCAAGACTTAACTTTCGTAGGTAAATCTTACCAGATGTCGGCTGATTCGTGTTTTACTGCAGCCGTTTAGCATTAATATGACGTTCAGGTTGAGGAAGTCCACGAGACATCCTTCAATGTTTTGGGCGAAGATGGATTGAGCTTTCGTTCGTCATGCCACATTACGAACATCGTCAGAGCTGGGATTCATTCTTGTAAAAGCCTCAAGTTAACACTAAGTCAAGAAGACTAACCCACTTTTCCCATATGATATATGTATATATATATATATTGAACAAAATTTAAAATATAGGTAGATAAAGAAAGGTTTAGTTAATTCAAGTATACTCTAGTGTGTCTTTGTGTATGCATGTTAACGTATGCAATAGTTCGAGTCCCGCTGGGCATTTCGATTTGATGTGGCATTATCAAAACTGCAGTCCATCGTAATAAGGGATTGTCCTTCCAAGCTAGGTCTGGATCGAAGTACATCTTTGAAACATAAGCAACGAAGGATCGCAGTGATAATATCAGGCCTCTTCCATTCATAGTGACAAGTAAGGTTACCAGAAAACAAGGAATTGACAATCCAGAGTGCAACAAAAATTTTGAAATCGAGTTTTCATTTAAATACACCATTCTCTTATGATAATAGTTGAATTGTTAGCGGTTATATGTCAAATGAATTGCCAATTGATTTCAATTGATGTCAATTGATTTTGTTTTGCCTCCTAAAAGTGCGTTCTCTTAAGAATAACCAGATTCCTGTGAGTTGTGACTAAAACAGAATGTTAAGGGAGACTTAAGTAACGTCCCATGACAATCCATCTATTCAAAAGTCCCCAAGAAAGAAGTGAGTTAAAGAGACATGGTTCACCAGAAGTTTATGCCTGTTGTTTGACCCAAAAGAGCTAGGCTTGCGTAGCCCTGGCTGCAATACATCCGCTTTACGGCTAATAAATCCGCACAGGTGTAAATCGTAGTCGAGTGTGAATGATGACGACCTTCATGAATGTATGGCGCAGAAGCTTTCGATGTTAATAAAAACTATTCTAAGAATCACGATGGGTATAAACACTATCAATGCCTGTATTACCATTCGGAAATTATGCATGTAAAAAGCGAGTTCATAATAACCTCGATCAAACTAGATAGAAAATACCTGATTAAAATTAATGCAATACATACTATACTATATTTAAGTTAAGAAAAAACACATAGTGCATTCTTCAAGTACAAATAAATGTATGCGGAACTGGCTATCAGGCAATTATCTACTATTGTTGAGCGTACTTCCATTTCGAATGAAAGTGTTTAGTGAAGAGATTCGAAGGTCGATTTCACCAGAAGACGACAGCGGAATCCTCTTAGCCACCTGTCGATTGGCTTTACTGGAACATCCATGTTGATGCAGTCTCCGAGTTAATCTCCTTCGATTCCGAGGAAAGGTGCAAAGCTTTCGTC